ATAGCAATCCTATAAGGGACAGTATATCATTCACTGTAATACCCATGTTATTGGCAGGTATTTCATAGGCCACAAAAGAAACATTGAGCCTATTAAATACCAAGTATCAGTTTCAATAAATGTGCTCATAGCACTGCATCGTTGACAATTGTGATTTTTTTTTCTGTAACTCGTGACCTTGTGCTCTCCAGGAAGCTCCTTGTATCCTTGAGTTCAATCTCCAGACCCAACTACTTTAGATCTAAATATGACTATTAACAATGTTTAATTTGCCATTGACATATTTAGTTACAAATTTTGTAAATCTTAATTTTCACAAATGAAATTATTTTCTTTCCTTGCAGTTTAAATTACTTTTTTTTTTTTAGGTACCAGGCATCAAAGCTACAACCTAGCACTATCCAGGCAGGTGTTTCTGCCTCCGAAGATAAATCCCTGGCCTGTATTAATGAATATTTCACTTTATTCATTCAAATAGAACTGTGATTTTAGCAAAGGATATCAATGTAGAGAGAAATTGATATACAATGAGAGAGGAACTGGAACCTCAAATAGTTAATGCAAAAAACTAAGTACAACAATCACTGCTACAGGCACAGCTGAAGAAAGCCAGACCTGAAGGTGAAGATGAAGTGACCAGGTCTACATGGTCCTGAAGAGAAAAACAACAGTTTGCAATGTACTACAGTTACCACCACCTCCTCCAGGAAGTTCAGATGGGCATCAATTACCATACTCAATGACCAGAACACCTGGACTATTGTTCCCACAAAATGCCTTGGCTCTTTCCACATACCTTTTCTGGCTGACTTGTTCCCCTGTTGAATATTATTAGTTAAGCAGCTATAAGCTTATAGGTTGATTGTAGTCTGAGACGCACACTGTACTGACATTGTGACTTTCCTGTATAAACGACCCCTGAGAATAGGTCTGGGCCAAAAACCCAAAGACCACTCCTGAAAATTCAGGGCTATTCTTCCTTCTTTTTTTCTAAGAAAATTTTTGAACTTCTTTTGGTTTATGACTTCATTTCTCAATGTTGTGAGCCATTAAACTTGCTGCATTTGATATCAAACAGGGCAGGATTATATTTCTCTTATCTCAATTTAAATATGAAGTGTCTGCTAAAGGCCATGTTCCAAAGCCAGAATTTCAGGCTGCTTCTTTGCCCTGAGTTTAACATTTCCATGAGCTTTTAGAAGTCCTCAGTCTAGTGAACTGCAAATGTAATGGAGGAAGGAGGTCACTGTTGTCCTGTAGCACAATAGGTGCCATTCCTAAGTCAGTGTTAGTCCCTGCCTCCTGGATGCCACTACATGGACTTCTTTCCTCTGCAACATCATTCAATAATTCCCATTTTACATAACTCAAATTTCACTCAGCTCTATTATTGTTTGTTTTTAATAATTTTTCTGTCTACTTGGTTTTTTTTTTTTTTTTTCATTTTAGTTTTTGATTTAAAGACATAGTCTCACTTTGGAGTTCTGGGAAGCCTTGCACTCACTATGTAGGTTAGGCTGTCTTTGAATATATGGCCATTCTCCTGTTTCAGTTTCTTCATTGCTGGGCAAAAGAGGTGGGCATTATAGCACATGGTGTTTGTCTTTTTTCTCTTCTCCTTTTCACTACTATTCTTTCATTTCAGGGGCACTGTTATTTAATCCTGAGGTTTGCTTGTGTCAGTAAGGTTTCTGCAGCTTGAGCTGATTTTGTGAACAATAATATAGGAAGCCAAGCAACCCAATTGAGAAATGTGGAATTTCATTAGCTGCTCTCAGCACCACTTGTATACAGAACCCCCACCCCCATTTCAGGATCTAAACAAGAGGCTCTGAACTGGAAAGTTAGAGATGTTTTAAAAGACAGAATCACCAAAAGATAGTTGGAAATCATTTAGCTAGAATCTTATAATAATTTTTGGATAAAAACTGTATTCTGCTTCTTTTGTTGAGCACGTTAATTTTTTTCTTTGGGTACAGCTCATTTTGCTTTTCTCCTGGGACTTATACCCTGAGTGATTTTCCATTTTTCTGAGTGAAATACAGGGCACTAGTTAAATGCAAAGCTCAAGATGGCATCTATTAAGCCAAACTACAACACAGCTAAGTTACAAGCCTCAATATTTTCTAGGGTACAAACACACAGATCTATAATCCCAGCACTCAAGAGGTTCAGACAGGAATGCTGCTTTGAGGTTAGGGCAATTTTGTGCTCCATAAATGGTTCAAATCTAGCTGATATACATAGAGAAAACTTGTCTCAATAAAACAAAACTAAACTACACAAATAAAACCAAACAAAACAGCTGAATGGAGAGTGATTTCTTCAAATTTTATTCCACATCATGGGGATTAATTTTTGTATATATACATTTTTGATACAGCAAATTTGATGCTATATTGCAACTCACAGCTAACGTACCAGCCAAATAGGAGCACTGATTCTTTTTTTTTTTAAGAGGAAAAAGAGAAAAACACAAAACAAAACAAAGCGGTGTAAGGGTACACCTAATACAAAAAAAAAAAAAAACATAACAGTAAGAAATCACCTGTTAGTAGATTACATATTATCATCTTGAAAATAGTTGCTCAAATCACAGTATCAAAGAATACAAGGTGGACATTCAAACAGGGAGACTGCAAACAGCTGTGTTCAATGATCCAAAAACATTGATATAGTCAGCTATTTAACACCCCTAAACACACTTACTGTTATATCCCTTAGAGCTCTTTTTCTTTTCTTTTTTTCTTTTTTTTCCCTCTCTTGCACTGATTCTTATGGTGAGTCACTGCAAGAGTCCCTGTGCACTGCCTCCAAGGCAGAGCTCATAGTGAGAGCCTGCAGGACCAGCATCCATAAAGCACAGAGGCAGACAAATATCTCATGAATCACTTTGATGTACTAACAGTAATATCTCTTCAAATCTCATTTAGGCCACTGAGTCCTTTGTTCTTAATATACTTAAGCAGTATCTTGATATTTAAATTTGGTTTCATAGAACAAAGCATAAATAACATCAAATATGATACATAAATAATAACTCAAATGTTCATGGAAAACTGATGTATGTAAAAAATGTATAAACAATGAAATCAGGTACAAGTTTCAAATTATAGCTCAGTGTCACCAAGTGATCACTCTCCATTCAGATATAAGAAATATATCTTGGGAGGCTGATGCAGGAGAACTTCCTTGAGTTTGGGGCTAGCCTAAGTTACAGAGCTGTCTGAAATATAGAAACCCTGACTGAGACACCCCACAGACAATGTGAAACTTGAAAAGTGACTGCATAGGACACCTTTGGTTTGCTTTAAAAATTATATCCATACAATATAGAAAAATTCCACAATATTCAACATTTTCTGAGGAACAATGTTGATATCATACATAGTGTGCAGAAAACACTTTCAGAGTGGGGTATTTAGCTCAGCAGCATGAACACCTACCTAGCAAGCTTGAGATCATGAGTTCTATCCCTGTTACAAAAAAATTCAAATGTTGCCTTCATGACACTGGGTCATAATTAGAGATAATCAAAATTAGATCTCAAGTGAAGAACAAAGAATTCATGTGTTGACAAGGATGTAGAATACTGATTCTTACCAGAGCTAGTGTTTTTCACCTCAAGGAAGAAATCATAAACCAACTTTAACTTCATGCTTACCCTAGAACTACCTGACTTTCAGGGAAGACCCTCTCTGTTGTATGTCCTGCTATTGGCACTCTGCGTCCTGACAGTCACTTCCACATCCTTTCCACGCTCATCTGATCCACCCTAAGCAGAAAACCCTTCATGACTAAACTATTGATATCCCTGCACAATTTCAATTTATGGCATCTCCTTTACACCACTTAGTAAAGTCCACTGCAGAGCATTTCCATATTTCAAAAATGTATATGATCAACCAAGCTATTAAATCACCTCTTAATTCAGAGATGACACCCACATTCCTTTACATTCAGAAGGATATCACTTGTATATGTTCATGCAAATGACTACATTTAGGCATTTTTCAGTGAGAATTTAACAGGCAGCCTTTTCTGGAATTTGTCTTAGCAAGCACACTTTACCCTGCCCTTGATGACACTTTTATATCTGCTTCATTTTTCTCAAAATTTAAACCTCTATGGCTGTTCTCCCAAACATCGTCTATGAGCACATGTGTCACATAAAGTATGTTCAGAAATTCTTTGCTTTGTTCTGTATAATACACAGCAGTTCATCCGGTGTTTGGGAAGCCTTCCTCCACTGAGGCACATCACTACACGTGTTTGAATTTTCAGAACCTTTGCCTCCACCTTTCATGAGCATGGAAATATGAGAACATAGTATAAATTTAGGCGATCACAAAATACATAAATGCATAAGTTTAAGGAGAGCAGTTGTGGCTATCAGGTCCTGCAGCACAGAGACATTTATAAACTTCTGGCTTTCATATCTGTTGCTGACAGGAATGAGAGCAGAGACCTAGCTTATTACAGCTGCACCCAGCTTGAAAACACATCGCAATCAGGGTCTCCTCATGCCCCGTCCTGGGCCCAGACTGTTGGAGGAGCAAGGGCAGCAGGCGATTTCAAAAATGGCATTGTGGCCTGGTGGTATCACAGTGATGACAGCATTCTAGGGACCCAGAACTGTCCTGGCGCCAGCGAGAGGTAAAAGGGACAGAGGATGACTCACTGCTACCACTAGTGGACCTCAGGGTCTGAGGCTAAGCACACAGGCTCTAGACAGCACAGCTGCTTCTCAACACTTGTTTTTATTTTTTTTCCTTTTCTTTTTCTTTCTTTCTTTCTTCATTTATTTTATTTATTTATTTATGTATTTATTTATTTTGGTCTTTTTCCTTTTTATCGGTACAGGGGATCAAACTCATGTCTGCCTGCTTTCAAGGCAGGCGCTTATGCCGCTGAGCTAAACCCCCAGCCCCTTCTCACCACTTCTAACTGGTCTCAACTCGATTCCACCCCATTTCACTGCTCCCATCCCATAACATCACCATTGCATAGTTTGGAGGTCTCCGAGGTTCTTTCTAAGCAGTCCACAGCGAATAGAAGCAAAAAATAGTGGTCTAGCAAACATTTAGTGCTCCCTTTTGTGCTCTGGCCTTGCAATTGACGCCATGACACCGGAAGACACCGCCTACCTTGGCCCACCTGATTGGACAGTTCTTCAGCCAGCCTCTTCATCACTGATTGGCTCCTGCTCGCCTGCCTGCCTTCCCCACCAAGTATAATTGCAGAAAATAAAACACCCTGTAACTGTGGATGCCCAATGAAAGCTGGTGAGGCTTCTGGAGCTGGCTGTTTTCTGGAATGTTGACCTCAACACGTCTGATGGGTATTTGCACTGAAAGTCTTTACCTCAGTCCTTGTTTTTTCTCCCAAACCCATTTTATTTGAAAGTTAAAAAGTAAAAAAAGTGGTCCAGCGATTTAGCTTAAGTACCTGCCTGGCAAGCTAGAGGTCCTGCATTCCACACAAGATCTGGCTACCACAAACTGCTGCTCTAAACGTGGGTGCACATATATCACTGTGGTATGATAATTTTTATTCTTTTCAGTAGATACCCAGAAGAAGAATAGCTGAGTTGAGTGGGAACTGTAGACCTAGTGTGTGTGCAATCTCCACACTGATTTCCACAGTGGTTGCTTTACCACCAACAATGGAGAAGGGTTCCTTTTTCCCCCACAACCTCTCCAGCATTCGTTATTGCTTGCTTTCTTGACAGTAGGCATTTTTTCTGGGGCAAGGGGACATATCAGTGTTATTTACTTTGCAATTCTTAAAAGACGAGTGATGCAGAACATTATATCACATATTTATTTGCTGTTTCTATTTCTTCATCTGAGAACTGTGTATTTCACCTCAGATGCACATTTTTGGATTTGGTCTTTAAATCTGGGAAGACTGAAATTTTTTAGTTTTTCATGCTCTCAATAGTAATACTTTGTCTGAGGAACAGTTGGCAAACATTTTCTCCCACGTTGTGGGTTGTCTTTTCACTCTGTTAGTTATTTCTAGCTGTTAAAAAGTTTTTCAGTAGGGTGAGATTCTCACTTAATTCTCTTCGATTTTTGCTGTTCAAAAATCGAAGTTTTCTTCATGAAGACTTTGCTTACATGAATGTCTTCAAGAGTTTTACTTACTCTATCTTGCAGCAGATTTAATGTTTCTGTTTTAATATAAGATCTTTGATCTATTCTGATCTTAGCTTAATACACTTTGAAAGATAATATTCAGAATGTATGGAGCCAGTTGTTCCAGCACCATTTATTAAAGAGGCTGCTTTTCTTCCAATGACTCTGTTTGGCACCTTTGTCAAAGATAAGATGGTTTAGTGGTCTGGGATTGTTTCCCCATCTTCTAATTTGTTGCTTTGATCTTTGCATCTGGTTTTTGTTTGTTTTGTTTTTTGTCAGTACATCTTTTTTTTTATCACAATACCTTTACAGTATAATTCCAAGTCAGGGATTTTGATGAACCCTATCTTTCCTTTGTTGCCCAGGATCACCTTTGCTACTCTAGGTCTCTTCTGGTTCCACATGAATTTTAGGATTTATTTTGTGTAATTCTTTCAGATGCTATGGCGTTTTGATTGGGATTGCACTAAATCTGTACAATAGCTTTGGAAGTATGGTCATTTTCACTATATTGAATTTCCCTACCCAAGACTATGGGATAGCTCTTCATTTTCGAATATCTTCTTCAATCTCCATTTTGAGAGTACTGTAGTTTACAATGTAGAGATCATTTACATCCTTTATTAGATTGATTCCTAAGTATTTCATTTGGTTGGATGCTATTGTAAAAGTTATTGTTTCCTTGATTTCTCTTTCCATGGGTTTTTTATTCTTGTTTATGAAGTCTATTGATTGTTGAGTGTTGCCTTTGTAACCAGCTATATTACTGAATTTGCTTCTTAAACTAGAAGTCTTTTGGTGGAATTTTTAGGGTCTTCTACGTAGAGTATCATGGCTTCTGCAAATAATGACATTTTAAGCTTTTCCTTTCCTATCTTTATTCCTTTTATTTCTCTCTCTTGTCTAATTGCTCCAGCTAGTTTCCAGGACTATATTGAATAAGAGTGGAGACAGATGTCTCCACTTGTTTTGTTCCTGATTTTAGAGTGAAAGCTTTCAGTGTTTGTCCACTTAGTATGAGGTTGACTGTTGGTTTGTAATAAAAGGCTTTTATCTTGAGATAAAGATCATCTCCCCAATTTTTGTAGGTTTTTTATTATGAATAGGTGATGCACTTTGTCAAAATTTTTTCTGCATCTATTCAAGTGATCAAATGAGTTTTGCTTTTGGATTTTTCAATACGGTGTATTATATGTATGGATTTATGTACGTTGAACCACCCCTGAGTACCAGGGAATAATTCCAGTTGATCATGATGTAAAACCTTCTTGATGATATTCTGCAGTCTGTTTGCCAGTATCTTATTGGGGATTTTTGCTTCAATGTTCACTAGGCAGAATGGTCTGTAATTCTCTTTCTTATTTGGATTGTTCTCTGGTTTTGGTATCAGGGTAATGCTTGCTTCCAGGAATGAACTGAGAAGTACAATTTCCCATTTGATTTCATTAAATTTTGAGAAGTGATGGTGTTAGGTCTTCTCTAAATTTCTTATTTATCCCTGCCATTTCATGGCTACCCTGCTTTCTTTCAAGGATCAGTGGACTCTTTGCATAATGGGCTGCAAATGTTTTCAGGATTCACGTTCAATCCTCCAGGAATAAAAGTCCACTGATGTCAGAAAATATTCTGAGAAAAGGCCAGGGCAGGACACAACAGAACAGAGAGTTGGAAGTTTCTGTTAGAGGCATCAAACTTCATTTTCATGATTTTCACTCATTTCTATTAATTTTCCACCAAGAAACCCAGTATGTGAACACAAAAGGAGCACAGTTACCATGTATAGTGAAGACATTACATTTAAATGATAGTAATGGTCTGCAACAGAGTAAGGATGAAATAAAAGCAAGCATCAGTACTCCAAGACAAGCTTGCTACTCATTCAGGCTCATAAAAATGCTGAATTCTGAAAGTGATCATATTGCCAAGCATGGGGGTGACAATTATTGCTGAAATGGAACCTAATCCAATTAAACATTTCCTTCTGGTGAGGCAGGGACACACAAGGACTTGACACTCTAAGTTCCCCTTGCCATATAGTTCCCTTGTCACTAATTGGCACTCAGCTCTTTGTTGTACTCTACTTTAAAAAAAAAAAAACATGGCCCCATGATGAAAAAACGCGGCAAGACCCCAAGATGACGAATGGGACAAGACATCTTTTTTAAAAGAAGCACTTTCATTTGCACTGTGTGCCCAGCGACACAGTGCAAATGGAATTTGCAAAGCTGTGCAACTGAGTTAGAGTTTTGACTGATTTTTATAGTTCATTTATGATTAGCTCATTGATCAGTAAGTACATAGTGATGAGAAACAGAAATAAGGTGGGCCTTTGTTCCCCTTTGCTTGAGGACAGAGGCATTTCACAGTGGGTGGTTGGCCAATTCATAGCCCTTGGTCTGCCAATTTCAGGAACATTTGTCTCTCATAAAGGGAACAGTGGTTGGCACAGCATCATTTGTCTCTTACAAGGGGAACAAAATTTGACATAGGACACAGGTCACTAATGTGGGGGGGATGACGCATTACAGAACAGCAGAATGACGTGGTCACTTAATTTATACCTATGTGGTTGGTGCTTGATTACTAGGGCAATGAGCTCAGTAGAATGATAATATTACTAATAACTATCTTTTTAAGTAACTATTTTTGTTAATTATCTTTTAATCAATTATTTTAATTTTTAGCATCTCAGTATAACACTCTTCAGGATTTTAATACTCCTAGAAGTCATATATTCCCTAAAGCCTGGTGATCCATTTGTTAACACCTTTTGGCTTCAGAAATGTGTAGGAGATTTCTAGGATTGCTTCTATATGTATAAACTGCAGCCATGTGTGTTAGAACCCATGAACCAAATCTGGTTTCTGGATCCTTCTTTCAGGTTCTGAAACTGTTCTCTGGCTCCTCGATGTAATAAAAAACTTACTTTTTCCTTTTCACTTTTTTCCAAGATATTTATGCTTTGGAAACAGTCAAAATCAAACAACCCTCATGGAAACCCTGAGATAAAGCATATATTTATATTAAATTCTATAAGTCAGGTATTTTGTACCTGTATAAAAGTAAAGAAATAAATATCTAATATAATTCAGCTAGCTGTATGTTCTGAAAAATCTTCCAAATGCATCAACTCATTCTTCAACTAATTATGTAAATGAGTTTTTAATCTATGTAAACCCTAACAGTTTTTTAGCATTTACCTGTTTCAGTTTGACTCCAGCAATTCTTTGGAGATCAAAACCACTTAATTTCCTGTACAATCCATTCTGTGCCAAGCAGGCATAACTGGCATCTGGTCAGGAATTCTTGGTTAACAACAAATGAACTGCTAGAAACACCGAGACTCATGTTACATAGTACTTAGCAAGTTGGTGGAGGCCTCCGTTATTATCTACCAATTTCACTTATAAGTACTGACTTAGAAAAGTTATGCTGAATACTCACAATGATGTAAAGAGGTGTATAATCATACCTTCTGAGAAATCAGTATAATACCCCTCGATATGTTAAAAAGGTAGCATATGTTGATAAGTTTGCAATATATTTGTTGATAATAACACTTCCATCTACAGGTAAAGAAAATTTACATGCAACAAAATTTTCAGGAAACTTACAGCTGGAAGGTAAGTTTTTATTGGAGCCTATGCCTAAATACCTAGCCCCCAAAAAAGTACACAGCAAAGGACCAAAAGAATGAGAAAAGTGGCATTGTCTTGAGGGCAACAGGAAGAGTGAAATCTTCAGAACTCATAACTCTGCTAACCAGCCAGCCACCTGTCACTAGGCAGCCCATATTTAATCAGAACAAGCAAGGAAGTGAGTGGACAATGGTAAAAAGCTGAGCAGGCCCCTGGGAGAGGTTCAAGGAACCCACAGAGCAACAGATGATTCTAATTAAGAAAAATTATTCAGGAAGTCTAGGTGGCCTCAGCTGTGGCCTATTTGTTCCTTGCGGTGTCTCCTCATTCTCAATTCAATCATGCCCAGGCCACACCACGGCCCTGCACATGTATTCATCTTCAACCCTTTCCAACAACTCTCTCTTATGTTGTTTTGTTGACTCCCAGGATGAGTGGCCAGCTTAAGGTGGGGAAGCATTGAGGAGAACTCCAATTTAAACTCTTCATAGTCCATCAGTTCATAACAGCAGTTATTTACCAGAATAGCCAGCAATTGTCAGAGGATGTTAGCGATCCTAGCTCCCCCTTCAGCCAAGCTTTTACATTGCACTATATCTTCAGAGGCCAGACTTTACTTCAGGATGTCCAAGGCCAAGCTAACATGAGAACTGCATTAACTACTGTCTTAGTTATTTTTTACTTGTTTCTGAGACAAAATACGTGAAGCCCAAGTTGAGAAAGGAAAGGTTTATTTCTTCATTTTTTGGAGGTTTCAGTCCACACTCAGTTGGCTCCAAGGCAGGTGTACATGGCTGGGCCACATTTCATGGCAGCAGCAAACAGCAAGCAGGAACCAGCAAAAAGCAAGACACACTTTTTTCCTGCCATTATATTACATCCTGGCTCCACCCCTATGGGGGTGTAGCACTAACACCATCAATCCACGTACTACACAATGAACCATCACAAATGCATAATGCAAACTCATGAAGCCTGGGGGACACAGGCATAAACCATGACATTCGACCTCTGGCCCCCAGGATTCATGTATATCCATTATACAAAAGACATTTAGTCCACTTCCAAGAGTTGCCAACGTCCTATGTTTCGGTATTCCTGAACAGTCCAATTCCCAAGTCTCCTCCAAGATCTAAGGCAAACTCTTAACCATAACCTCTGTACAAATCAAACAAGGTTAAACATTTCCCAAATGCAAAGGCACAAGGTAAACATTACCATTCCAAAAGTTACAAGAATGGGAATATAAAGTACTGGAAACAAAAGAAGTCCAGCAGGGTGAACATTAAGTCCTAGAATTCCATGTTCAGCATCAGAAGCAATCTGGTTGCAAACTCCAAAAGGCTTGGGTAATTCCACCCCCATGGCATTTCCAGCAATTTTAACTCCAACAGCTTTTCTCCTACATCTTCTCTGCTCTCTTTTTGCAGCTTCCCTTGAATCAACCACATTCTTGCCTTTTTCAAACATCTGCAGTCCCCACCGCACCTTTGGCTTCACCCTTACGTCTTCACAAATTGCCCTCTCAGGGGCACACCTTTTGGCCTCCCAGGCACTTTGTAATTGAGGTGGATGCCATCTTGTCTCAAAATTTGTGCATTTTCCTTGCACCTAAAATCAGCACCTTGTGGATGCCACCAAGGTTTGCTGCTGATTGGAGCAGTACCTACGCTTTTCTGTCTTTTGGCTATAGGGGTCAATTGCCTGGATTGCAGGGCTCTGTGTACATGATTGTGAGGAAAAGCTTCTCCAAGGGACCACCATTCTGGAACCTCAAGTGGCTTCTGTTGCCATTCTAGAACATGGCACTCTGCAGCTTTTCCCTCTGAGCAAATTCTTATACTTTTGCAGTGAGGATGCACAGGGTGGGGACCCCCTTCTTTGATGCCCTGGGCCATCTTTCTTATCTCTCTGTTTCTCCTCAGGAATCAAAATCTCAACTCTGCCTTTGCAATCCATAGTCTTCCTGGAATTTTCCTTCTGGCCAAACTCACAGCATTGTACACTATCCTGCTGATCTCTTTCTTTTGATATGCAACATAAATCTGGCTAAAAGCCCCAACAATAGCCATGTCACAGCCTCAAGGTTTGATTGCTTTTTAATTTCTTTTTCAAGATTAATCAGTCCATTGCCCTTTGTCTCAGTCTCAGCAAAGTCTCTGGGCAGTAGCAAAATGCAGACAAACCTTCTGCCAAGCCATAACACACATCAGGTGGAGTCCAACAACCAATGCAGTCCCTCTTCCCCACAGAAAACTCCCAAGCCTGGTTTTTATCATCAGGCCCTCTATCAGCCTTCTGGTCTCCTGAGGTCTGACCAGAATCCCCTCTACAGAACAGCCTAAGCTGCTCCAGCTCTATGCATCCAGGCAACATGTCCAAACCTTTCCAAACTCTGCCCACAAGCCATTTCCAAAGCCTCTCGAAAAACATGGTCAAGAATAGTCACAGCAAAAGACCCCACTCCTAGGTACCAAATTCTGTCTTAATTACTTTTTACTTGTTGCTGAGACAAAATACCTGAAGCCCAATTTCAGAAAGGAAAGATTTATTTCTTACAGTTTTTGCAGGTTTCAGTTCACACTCAGTTGGTTCCAAGGCAGGCATGTATGGCTGGGCCACAGTTCATGGAGCCTGCAAAAAGCACACAGGAACCAGCAAAAAGCAAGATACACCTTCTTCCTGCCATTGAATTACATCCTGGCTCCACCCAATGTGGGTTTAGGACTGACACCATCAATCCGAACAGTAGACAATGAACCATCATAAATGCACAATGCAAACTCATGAGGCCTGGGGGACACAGGCATAAACCATGACATTCCACCCCTGGCCCCCAGGACTCATATACATCCATTATGCAAAAGACATTTAGTCCACCTCCAAGAGTTGCTAAAAGACCTTCCTATCAAGGTCACTTAGGTCTTCTCAGGAGTTATCTTAGAACCATGCATAACACCTCATGGCTCTTCTGTCAGTGTCAGCCACTTAGAAGAGTCACAATCATTGCTTCACCACGTTGCTCTCTGTGAAAGCTTGGGAGATTTTTCTCCTGTGACTCTTCTTAGGCACACCTTGCATTGAAGGTGACTTTCCTCTGTGGTTTCATCATCTCCTTGATGAGACAACCAGGGACTCACTGAATATCTTAGGATGATGCAATCAGAGGTTATTTTATATCCTTGGTCTCCACCACCCTTGAAGGACTGGGGCCAAAATATTGGCTATCCATTTAGCCCATCTGTTTCTCTAAGTTTTGGCCTCCAAACCTTAGCTGTCAAACATCCAAAAGAAGTTTTTCATAACAATACAGTATATTACAGGCAGTAAGTGTAATATTACTATTTTATCTAAACATGAAACATTTTAGAACAATAAATGAATCCTATTTTCTTCTATCCATGGACATTTTAGCATTTGAATACCTACAGAATTAAGAGTTGCACATTTTACATAATATATCAGGAATCAGAACCATACATAGTATTGCATCATGACAATCACAAGATTCTTGTAATAATCTAAATTCTTGTTTGACATAAAATATCCCTTTTAGTCAATCACCCTTATCTAATACACAAGAAGTTTTTTGTATATTATTGAAAAACTTATTGATCTTTAGTTGAATGTGAATCTCACAAGTCTTTGTGAGCAGCAAAGGTGTGCACATGAGACAAAAATCTGTTACCATAAGTAATCCCTGTTTTACAGTCATGGAGTCTTATGCATCCAGAATTATGAATATATGCAATACATCATATAGTGGATTAAAATCAACTGTCATAACCATGTGAAACCTTTATACAGGCATCATCAAACCAAAAATATGTATTACTTCATTTGATAATGACCAATGTGAACATTTAGGAATAAATTTCATAAATTTATTTGAGCTGTCTCCTATAGTGATCTGGAGATCACTGAGGTCTCTAATCAATGGATAAAAACTGGTTTAAAATGTTACCAGACAGCTGCTTTCTTATTTATCAATCAGAGCTTGGTCCACCAATCTAACTGCTAAGGGACTTTGTTTATTTACTTATATTTTTAAATTTATTTTTATTTACAGAAAGACAAAACAAAACAGAAAGCAGGCAAAAATAGTACATACAATCAAATTAAAGAATAAACAGTAATAAATCATTACTTTGTGTGTTTTATTGTCCTCTTACAAATAATTGTTCAAGATACAAAAGTGGACCATATAAATGGGAATTCAAACAGGGAGACTTCAAATAGTTCTGTTCAACTATCTAATAAAAACTAAGTAATATGGCAATCAATCCTATACACTTAAACATGTATGTATTTATCCATATCTTCATTTATGTTGAGTTTAAACAAACCAAAGCAGATTAAAATCACTCTAGTTGAAGATTAATAGTATTGCTTGATTTCACATCATGACATGATGGAACCAGCACTGGATACTGTAGTCCCCTTTTCTCTCCTTCAAAGTATTTGTTCATTTCATCATGCATCATAAAATCAGTTCTTCTAAATTATTGATAGGTTTTATGGAAGCATGCATCTTAACATGTGTTACTATCCTTTCTATATTAGAGGGAGAAACAGAACAAAGCAGGACAGAGCAAAACATAATCCTAGAGATACATAAAACTAAAAAGACATTTAAAACTGCTGTACAAGGACTTCTACCTTGGTTACTGTGTTGTCTCTTGTTATCATCAATAAAAATGGCTATATCATCGGATAAAGTATAATTGAATATATCACTGCATAACAGTATTAACAGAAATAGAACTTTGTAGATAGTGTACAGCTACAAAAACAGATGTTAATCAAGTCAGAGTGGGTATTATAGAGAATCATTT